TAAGATCTCGCCGTGGATTTTTCGGAAACGGGATTTCACGTTGTTACGCCTCGAACCACGCATAGAGATAGTCTCCGGCTCGCCGTTCTAAAAAGTGGGATCCAAGCGGAAAGCCGAGGACGAGCCGGCACGGGACTGCCTCTACTTAGCAGTGAAAGGGTTAATTACGATCGTCCAGCCGGAGAGACGTCTGGCTCGTGTGGGCGAACCGTGTGCGAGCTTGAATCGAAGATATCTCGGTGCGCGATTATGTGTCGTATGACTCCGGGACACGATCAGGTCCTACTTTCTCTCGTACACGCACGCGCACCCGCCGTCCTGGTGCCTAACGTTGCTATAGGCGAGGTGTGCCTGCATACGAGACGAGTCCGAATCGATTCGCACCGATGACGGGTGAAATGGAGCCATTCGATCGACTCTATCATTAAATGGCTCATTAATCTCTATTAATTCATTTTCGTCTGCTATGATGCGGTGTGAACTACTTTTCTGTACCCACGCGCATTATTTTCGTCTGGCAAATGGTTTAGAAAACGTTCGTTTAGTATAGAGATGAAAAGATTGTTCTATGAAACTATTACATTAAGATAGTGTTTTCATTTATTTTTCAATCTTTACTTCGATTGCCAGAATGTTTTACAAGTTTTTTGAAATTTTGGTCTATTATAGAATATAATCGACTTCGTTGCTCAATTTTCAATTATACCCTGTACGAAAGACGCCTTTTTCAAATATTGACTCACTTGTACATCGCCAATGGACGCGTGAAAGAAGCAATCAGCAAATTATTGACAGACCGCGCCCAAGACGAGCATATCCGCGTTGCAACCGGTGAAACGCGGATTGTCGCAGGTCGCAGCGCGTGTAAACACCGGGATTCGCCCGGTTGCGAAATCGAAACGCAGGAATTCCGTGGACCCGAGGCGTTGCGAAAGATGCTTGTCGGCGAGAAGACGGTATCGCGAGAAAGTATCTCCGTTTCATCTTCGGTTTCTCTTATCAGTGACTGATGGACGGGACGATGGTATCGAGCGATACCGAAGGAGAGTGCCGACGACTCCACGGCGGAGTCGCGAGGAACGCGCTCGCGACGCGAAACTTCGCGGAATTTTCGTTCGGCGACCCACTTTCCGATTGTCATTATCTCCGGCGAGGATGCCGCCGTGACGTCAGCCGCGTCGCGTCACAATTAGGCGTGAGATTCCGATAAATCCACGGCTAACTGCGAGGATCGCGTTTCCTCGCGGAGCTTTTGCGCCGCGCGCCGCGATAATTGATATCCTTCATGAATAATTCAAGCAATCGGCGGGTGTCCCTCTTGTCCGGCGATAGGTTTTCCACGAGAAAAACCGGCGGCGTTAAGCTGTCGCTATTTATAGACGGCTCTTTTCTTCGGCGGCCGTCATCGTCGCGCCCTCCAGCGAATGTGGAAACGTCTCCGTCTGCTAGGCTCGCGTGATGTCACTCCCGCCGGGAAGATTGTGGAACACAGCGGATCGAATCTGGCCAGGAATCTCGAGAGGACACGGATGAAAGTTCCTTGTGCATACACTAGAGTCGCCGTTGGTCTGCGCGCGATAGCCGTCAGCTTGACACGCTCGAGACTTTTCACACGCGAAAAGCGTGGAAGAAACGACCGATTCGCGAGTGTCTCTGTGTTAATGAATATCGAAGTGCTCTTACAGTCGTTGAAACAAATCTCTAATCGCAAACACTTACACTGATAGCGGCGATCGAAAGTTTCCGACTCTCGTTGAACACCTGTCTGTTCATTACTTACTGTCTCTACTACCTGCTGTGCAATCTCCACAATAGACAGGCTTTCGAAGCCTATTACCCCGGAACCCACACAACCTACCCACAGTTTCAAAAACACCAATTCCTCCAATCATTACTCAAACAATTCTTAACAATCTTCAATTGTTAACGATCTCTTAATACTCTAATCACGTATCCTCTATTCTCTACAAGCTCGAACACTCAACGATACAAAACGAAATAACAATAACCACCGCTGACCTCTCAGCTATCAACGCTTGAACCACCGACGCTCGAGTCCCATAAATCCGAAAACTGGTCCGCTCAGCCCCCGTTATCTCCTTGGCGCGCAGCGGCGTACGGCGTGGCGGCGCAAGGGAAAGAGAAGGCGGAAGGGAAAAGAGTGGTTAATTCATGAGCGTAAATCGTGGAGGAAGCCGGCGCGGCGGTTGTGCAGCGGCGTGGCAGCACGTGGTGGCACGTGGAGAGGCGTGGTTCGTGGGAGGGCCGTGTACACCGGTGTAATCCACTTGGCACACGCTGTTCGGCTAGCCCTACTCTTTCCCGTCCCGTTCGCTACACCCTACCCTGCTCGCCGCTACCTTTACCCTGCCTACGGTGCACACCGGGCTCGCCGGTTCTAGAGTTTAATCGGGGTCCCTTCCGTGCACGTGTGCACGAGGCGAGCCGCGCTCAGGTGCCACGCCACGCCGCGCCGCGGCTCTTTCCCTCTAGTATGCGCTCCCGTAGGTGGGATCACGGTGCCGCTCGCCCGGCACCGCGCCGATCCGCTGATCCCCGCTGTCTGATAGGGCTCTCATTGTTTTGGAGCGAGGTATCTTAATTGGCAGCGGCCACCTTGCCGCCGCGCCGACAGGTTACAAGGCACACCGGCCGCTCGATGGAAAAAAGGGGAAAGGTTAGAGGTGGGAGAGAGTGGGCCGGCGGCGCGGACTATTCTTTTCCGGCGTGATCGCTTTCCACCGGCGGAATTTATCGCAACGCCGCTGCACGGTTTGCTGGAGCTGCGAGTGCGTAGATTTCGGCTTCGTTGCTTCGATTGTTGGGCTTTTATGCTTGCGTAGGCGCGACTGCGGTTGGAGGCAGGTATTTTAACCCTTTGCACTCGAGAGGTGACTCTCGGTCACCGCATGATTCGAGACAACAAAACTATGAAGTTGAATATTTAATGTTTCAGATTAAATTTTGCGTTGCTACGTGAAATAGTTAAAGAAAACACCTCTGTTGCTTAATGTATCTATGAATTAAATTAGTTTCAAACAATATCACCTGTATCTCGTCAGAAAATGTGGAATATTTCTATTGAAAAACTTTCGAGTGAAAAGGGTTAAGAGATAATGTTGATAATAATGGTGATTATTGCAGGTCGAATTGTAGACAGGAGTGGATATTCGTGGATCACATGGTTTTGGGTTCGAGTATGGTGTAGGATTGGGAATTTAGTAATTAGTGGCGTGATTAGGTTGTTAAGGGAATATCGTGCCCAGGTTATTATTGAGAGTTCCTTTGAGATTTGAAACAGGTGAAAGTACTTGGTACACTACCTTGATCATAAGCCTGATTTGTTCTTCGAATGATGCACAGTCTTTAGATTAGTAAATTCCCACCCCTTTCACACCCTCGCCACTTCAATTCACCGTAACGGTACGACTGCTGTGTCTAATCGCGTCATTTCCTCCGCACCCCTGTCGGATTAATCCACCGGTATAACGATTCGCGAGATGAACGGGTAGATTGCACGTTTTACGACTCGAAAACCACTGGGTGGTCCGCTTGCATTCAATAATCGGTCGCTAAATCGAACCTGCGACTTCGGCGCCCGTGACTATCTGCGATTCGGATCTTCCTTCGTGGCAAGGGTTGTGACACCCTACGGAGACATCTGTTCACCTGTATTATATTACAGCACTCTTCAATTCCGCCGTGTCTAGATTTATTCCTCTTCTCACATAAAGAACTATCAATTACCAGAGTAATCGTCGAAACAAAGGAAAATTGAACCACCGGTAAATTGAACTTCCAATTCGTTGAATCTCTTGAACATCAAAACTTCAAGCTTCCATCCGATGTCTTTCCATCAATCAATTATTAAAAGTACAAACTTAAACATTCAATCACAAAACGTTAGTGTTTCTAATTCCTTTCATCGCCACGACAATCATCGCGCCTCAATAAAACAGAAACGAGCATCGTGCTTGTTGACGGGAACACAGTCATCCCCCGGGCGTTAGGGATAATATCGCGTAATAATAATCGAGGGGGTATGGCGGCTGTCTGTATAGGACGGGCTAGTACTTTAAATGCCAATGATTTCATGTCTCCCCGGGGTGTCGGAGCAACCCCTATATAGGACGAAACGTCGGCGTCGAGGACCTCAGTCGACGCCGAGGTTTCGACCGCCGATAAGTCGGTCGTTCGAGGAGCGATAAACCGATTCCGTACGGTAGCATCAATCGGGAAAAGGAATTCGAGCGAGTGAAAGTGGTCCCCGAATTCCATCGGCTGCCAGGCCGCCGCTGGCCTGGTGGTCCCTCGTTGGCTCGTATCTCGTCGGGATCGTTCACGCGTCACGATTCCTCTTCCGCGTGAACTCGCCGGGGACCCGAATCCGTCGCAGACATGATCACCATGGACACCGGTCACTCTCAGTACCGTAGATATTGTACGTCGGTTCTAGAGCAGGTTCCCATTCTTCGTTTCCTCTTTAACATTCGTTACATTACTTTTTCTCGTCAATTGTCGTCCCCGATTCCGTTCCCAATCGGCGTACATTCAGGACAGCCGCGCGTCGGGGAGTTTCTATTTCAAAACGCGTTGTCCCGGCGGACAATGAACGTCTTCCGTTACGATGGAAACTTTGCAAACGGTTCGGACAGATAATGCACGCGAGCGAAACCGTCCGTTCTTTCTAATCGGTCGCGCGGCGACTGCTTTGGTTATTGGAATCTGAACGAACGTAGTCAACGTTTGAAGCTTTCTATTACGCTTTCTGGAGAACGACCGAACGATCGAAGCAATATTACCGGCGTCCACTGATATCGCCGTTAACGGTCCATTCTTTGCCGATACTGCTCGCCGTCTGTTTAAGTTGTCCGGCTCGGAGTTGTTCTAATTAAGTTAATTGGTTGTCAGCTACGAGCGCGGTTAATTGGGAGACTTATTAGATCCCGAAGCGGTCGAGGGATGATGTTTCTACAGAGGACCGTTTCATTATGTTACAGGGCAGTTGCATTCGCCGAACGGCGACAGCGATAACAGCAACGGTAGTCAGCGTGCGGTGGCTGTTACAAGGAGCGACGTAGATCAACAGCAACAGTCGCACCGCCAGAGGCAGCAACGGCCTCCGACAGCTACCGTTCCAGTTCTCGCCTGCACGAATCACTCATCTACGACAACTACTACCACCGCATTCACAGTAGCGTCAAGTATGCTTCTGCTGCAGACACAGGTCAGTTGATCCTCCAGCGTCGTCGAATTCATCTTCAAATCGTTCGATTATAGATCGCGTCTCATATCAGAAGAATCCAACTTGTCAGTAACATATTATATTAGAAAAGAGGAATGTCTAAGTGATCTACGAGCTGCTACAAATTTGACCAATAAACATTCCATAGAACGATTAGATTCGTGTCTCCGATCCCCTAAAATGCTTGTAGCCTCTAGACCATTCGGAAGCAGCAAACTTGTTTCTAACTTCCGCAATCAAAGTGTTCGTTCAGCATTATTTTTTCTTTACGTATTTCCCCGGATCACCTCTCAGGCGTATCATTAGACACTTAGAAAACCGATAATCCCCATCGCCAACTCGACGGAATTCGCGCCGTCTGGCCTAGCTAGTAATTATCGAATTCCGTATTTAGAGGCGCGCGCGATACTTTCACTATTTCAGTATCTTATCCGCACTTCTCGAACTCCCGGCGAGCCTAGACCCGACCTGTAACAAGATCTGCCCTCCTACGTCCCGGCGCGGCGTTTCTCGATCGTCATCTGCATTCGCTTATCGGTGCACCATCTGCATTCCTG